TTTAATTAAATAATTTAATGAAAAATAAAATAAACAAGAATAAAATTTTTAAAATTTATTGATTAAATAAATAATTAAAATAAAATGTTTATATATATTTATTTAAAGAAAATTAAAAATAAAAACAAATTAAATAATATATTCTGTCCTAATTTCTCTAAATTGGAGGGATTGAAAATAGAAGAAAGGAAAGGGTTCCATTTCCCTCCATCTCCCCCTTCTATTAAAATTATTTATCTAAACAATTGAGGTGCTCTCTCCTCTTCACTCTCTTCAGCTTCCCTTTTAATTTCTCCAATCTAAACAGAGTGTAAAACAAAAAAGACAAAGAAAATAGAATGAATAGACATATATACTTTTGCTTTTTTGGGCAAGACTAAGGATAGAATTAGCTACATAAATTGACCTAAAAGGAAAGAATAGATGCATGGACAATGAGACTCTAGAGACGCAAAATGCAAAACCAACTACCTAGGCTCCACAAAGAAAAACAAATTGAGTCCTCGTCATCAAAAAAAGAAAAAAAAAAGGAATAAATAAAGAAAGAAAGAAATAAAGCCTTGAGACTTTTGATCACTTAATTATCTTCATTGAAATAAAGTACTGATCAGTTACTTCCTATCTTCTAAATGGAATCCTCCTAGCTAGCTCTGTTGTTAAAGTGCAAAATATCCTTCTTGGACAATTTTCACACCTTTCACTTGGCAGTCGCTAGCTAATTCATAAATTACGCGGCGCCTCTACACATTAAACGCTGGATTTGGCCTGACCAAATTGCAAAGTTCTGTCGGAGACAGGTACAAAAACAAGCACAGGATGAACCCATTGGGTATATCCCCAATCTCTAGTACCATCGCAGAGCCATTCGCCCCCTCCGTCAGGTTTGATAACCATACTTGGTGGTGCAGTGGCGGGAGACGAGGTTGAGAGGGAGCGGTTCTGGGCGACTCCGTTTTTTCGATTTTACACTTGATTTTCCTTTTAAAATTTTAAATGGGCGTCAATCCTTAGCAAAAAATGGTTATTACATAAAAATTTGACGGAAAAGTCTTTTATCTTTAGAATAACTTAGCCAACTTTGTCTGCATAGGATCCAATGGTTTGAGTCGGGGATTTTTAAGTTTTATTTCTTGCATTAGAAAATTATAATGAATGATAGACATGTGAAAAGAGAACTACTTTAGTTGTTGTGGACATTTTAAAAATTAAGAATCAAAATTTTTTTATTAAAACTTTTAAATTTAAATCATAAAAGAGAAAAAAATTTAGAAAAGAAAAAAATTAAATTTAAATTAAAAATCTAAATTTAAATCATATAATTTTATTTAATTAGTCATTTTATTTAATTAATTTTTTTCCTCAGTAAAATGGCCATAAAATCACTCTTTTTCAACAACCTGTTTAATGATGAGTATAGAACACTGACACAATTTTTACAAAATAAACTAACATAAACAATACAAAATTCATCAAAAATGTCTTTCTCAATTCCATCCGGTGGCCCGCGAAAAGTGAATCGCATAAGGGTTGAAAATTTGTAGGAGGAGAAAAGTATAAATTGAGTTTTAATTAATTAAATGGCAATATTTAAAAATTAAGATTTTAATTTATTTATAAAAATTAGAGATTAATATATACTATTTTCATATAAAATTCAGATATTTTATTATGAAATATAACACTAACTCATTTTATACATATTTTTTTTCTTATGGAGATTTTATACATGATTTAAACACATATTGAAGTGCTAAGAGTATTAATTAATCTATCTAATTTGGAAAATACCTAAAAACAAAAAGAAAATTAATATAGCGCGAATTCTTACCCCATGACCATTCTATACAACTTCCTAATACAACTTCCTAATACAAGTCTCTTGAGAAGTTGTGTCATCAAACAACGCTTTTATTACAACTTCAAGTAACAAAAACGAGCTGTCAGTAAGGTTGTGTCTTTGAAAAGATGATCTTATGCCAGGTAAAAAGACGTATGATGAGGAAGTTTATCCCAATCCCACATCAAAGATCACCCCTCAACACTTGGCTGTTGCACAATTTAGATGTATCGGGTCAGGCCAACCAAGATGTGCCATAAGAGGCGTTATATGGGTAAGCAGCTCCCCACCATGCCTAAGTTGCGTTGCATGATGTTTCCATCAACATTTGCTCGCCGCATGTGACAACAATTCCATCCACACTTTTGCAATTACCTCTCATTTTTCTTCAAGATCCCACTGCAATTCCTCCATCAATGCCTTCAACATAGATGCCAGCTTACAACCATCCTGCAAAACTGACTTGCCATGAATTGGTAACCCTGCAAAGTCGTTGTCGTTGTAAAGCAAAGCCCTGGCATCATTGTTACTTAGCGACTTTACATGACCAAAGAATCTTATCACCTCCTCTTGAGCATCTCTTATCCTCGCTTCACCAATCCCTTAAGGAAGTATGAGTGGCCGCACTAGGACAAGATACATCATGTAATCTGACAACAGTTTGCTAATCCAATAATATGAACCTAGAGCACTGCTAGAATATCTTCTATGATCATCGTAGAAGAGAAGAAATGTCGCAATATGCCACAAACTGATGCTATGGCTAAATTCTACGTCATTAATGCTCCATTTGAACTCTTCCTTAACAACAATTCCTTTGCCTTGAAGCAGATGTTCCCCCCTTTCTTTCAATATAGTTGAGAGCAACTCATGGTCAAATTCCTTGTGCTTTTGATCGGTATTCTTTCCCTGGTCCTCTTCATTAAGTTTTGATACCGCTTGAACTTCTCTTGAAGATGCGAGTAGATGAAGTTCTTCAGGTTTGGATTCACTTTTTCCCAAGAAGTGCATCAAAACTTCCCCAAAATGTCTTTCGGTGTCAAGTACTCTCAAAATCAAAGTCTATCCGGAGGTCCTGACCTTGACGCAATAATCTATCAGGTTTTGTTGTGCCATAGATACTATTTAATCTATCAGGATTTGTTGTGCCATAGATATTATTCCCTTCTTCTCGGCCTTACAATGAACCAACCTCGAAGCAATTATGCAACCCACAAACTTATGCACCGAGTTGCTCCGAATGAATAATCAATACATTGTCCAATCAGATAAAGCGTGCAAAACAGCTGAATAAATGTCACAGAGATTGCTCCACCCAACAACAATTAAGTTATGTAAATGTCCTCCTTCCAATAACGATGATTACCAACTGTGAAAGAGAAGGCAATCACTGCTGCAAAAGTGGACAACAAGCGGATACGCTGGAGGATTATGCCTTTTTTAGATTGTAGTGCAGTAGTCTTGGTGTAGAGCTTATCATGCAAGAAACCTAGCTCAATTTGTACAATTTTGAAGGCATCATCAGCGGATGTGGAATCGGAGAGCATGAAGTTGTCTCGTAAATCTTTATAAATCCTAAGCTTGAGCTCTGAAAAGAGAGGTATGTACATCTTGTACAAATAAAAAGCTTTATGGAAACATTTGCCTTCTTCAATAACATTTTTGTGCCTTAAATACTCGTCAAACGTCTTAGGACGATATTGCTCGTCGAACCATTACATTAGTTCGAACATTGCCAAGAGATTTTGCTGTGTTGCTGCCGATGGATGGGAAAACAGAATTACTAAATTGCTTGTGACTTGCAGCGTTGCAGCGTTGCAGCGTTGCAGCCCTGAGAATCCAAATCCTTTCTCTATATATACTTAATAATACCGGTAATTAACAATCGATGGCCATGGGTGTGAGTGAGTTATTGGTCCTAAACTTCACATAGGCATAAAAGCCACCCCAACCTCGACAAAGAAGCCGAGGAGGTGAAGCAACCAAAGCTGGATCTCTGTTAAGGAGTAGGCACTTGATGGTGTGTGGGCCGCCAAGGTGCAAGAGCAGGAACGGCGTTCAAAACACAACCAGCTCGCTGTTTAGCGCCTTCATTTCGGCCTTGAGGTGGGCACTTAAGGCAACAGTGGCTACCCAATCTGCGGCTATGTCGACCAAACAAGGATAGCAACATAATGAGAATATTTGCCTTGGTGTCTCCGATTATTGCCAAGCCAAAAAGGAACCAACTGGAGAAGCCTTTCATTATTTGCCTTGGTATCTTCGATGATTGCCAAGCCAAACAAGTACATACTGGAGAAGCAGGCTGAGTATTACCATTCGTTGAATCTTCCATTAATTTGACCCACAATTCTTCGATTAATCCAGAAAACACTTTCCTAAGGGCTCCGGTTTTGATCTCAGTGAAGAAAAAAGTAGTGGCACCTGGAAATAGAGACATGTTCTGATGCATGTGATTGGTAAAAAATAGAATTGTAGAAATAGGGGCCTAGTTAACAAGATGTATACTTATCTGCTACCTATATACTTAACAATCATTAAAAGAAGCAATTGGGAAAAATTAAGATGTTCTAATAATTTTTTTTTTTTGCACAGCAAAGGTAATTTATTAAGATTAGTGTGGATGTACAAGCAGTATTCCACCTAGTTACTTACACAAGAACAGAGAAGGAATAGGCTACATATGTTACTTCTATCTTTCAAACCATTCTTCTCCTAGGCTTACTCTTAACCATCCGTAAGACAAGCTATAGGATTACACAACCAATCTGAAAGATAAAAGTGACAACCAGCCTTACTTGAATTAATCCAAAAATAAGATCTTAATTGTATTAACTCCAGCAGCTTACCCATGTTTGTTTCCTGGTCTTGAAAGATCTTCCTATTCCGCAGAAGCCAAATTGAGCAGATCACTGCACTCCAGATACAATCCCATCCATTTTTGAGCCGCTTATCATTGGTCCATGCCTCAAAGTGGTCGAAGGTTGTCCAGCAGTCCGTCTCCATCCTTATAGAGATCCCCCACCATTTAGCACACTAATAATTAAAATGCTAAGAATGATAATAATGCTAATAAAAAAATTTAAATATGCCTTTAATGAATCAACACATAAAAAAAATTCAATAAGGGTATTTTGAACAAATTCATAAATAAACTTAACATTACACCTTAATTCCTTTTCACTTTTATCTTAAAAAAATGTAATAATCACTCTATTGTTTAGACAATAAGGTAATTATAGGTCCAAATCACAAGTTCAAATCTCCCCATTTCCCAATATCAACTCAAAAAATTATTCAAAAATTCATTTTAAAATTGTATATTACCTTACAGTAAAACAGCAATTAGGAAAGAAAAATGGCATTGGCTCTGATGAAGCCATCGTTGTAGAACTAAATTATGTAATGCAATATGCAAGAAACATATTGATTAAGGAAACACTTACTTGGGATCAGCATTACTAACATTTCTTTACTTTAACGAAGTTGAAGTGGTACAATACTACAATGCTCTACTAATTTAACATTTTTATACGTTGATATCTTCCTAGTGAAATATTATAAAATATATATATGTATGTATGTCTATTATAAAACAGTATCATGCGAAGCAGATGGATACTTGGTCTTCAAGCCGCAAGTCCTGTGTGCAACACTTTAAACTAATTAAAGTAACTAATTCTTCTGCTTGTGTTCCAAGGATAGCCTTTCCCTGTTTAATGGATAGTCCTAATAGCACCAAACTATATTTCTTCGTTTTTTTCAGTCTCATTTAGTAACAATTAAAATATAAGTCAAGTTAAACTAGGGACATCCTGGCTAGCTAAGAATATGATTAAAGATACAAAAGAAGAGTTTGAATATCATTTTTTTTTTCTAAAATAAAAGGGTTACTTTGTCAGGATGGTTATTAAAGGAGACGAGTACCGAATATTTTGCAAAAGAAAGTCGTGTAATTGATTAGTCTGGCGCTGTTAAAGCTAAAGAGCCAATTCATTAGTGCATCACCCGTTAAAACAAAGAAGATAAAGAAAGCAGAATGAATAGATATATATTCTTCTGTTTTTTTGTGAAGACTAAGGATAGAATTAGCTAGCTACATAAATTGACCTTAAAGGGAAGAATAGATGCATGGAAATATGAGATTCTACATACGCAATATGCGAAACCAACAACCTAGGTTCCACCAAGAAAAACATATATTGAGTCCTCGGAATCAATTAAAAAAAAAAAGAAGAAGAAATGAACCCTTGAGACTTTTGGTCACTTATCTTCATTAAGATAAAAGTATTGATAAGTGTGTAATTACCCAATCTAGTACTACTGATATTGCCTGCTTCAACTTTCACCATTTTAAAATGTGTCAATAAAGAATAATAAATATTAATTTATGTACTTAATATCTCTCCCATGCTTTGTATGCCAATGTGGGATTTTTTGAGTTTGTCCCATTATGTATTGTTCTTTTGCTTGAGCTGTTCTGGGCGACTCCAATTTTTTTTACCCTTAATTTTCTTTTTTAAATTTTAAATGGGTATCAATTCCTAGCAAAAAAATGTTCTTTTATAAAAATTTGAACTCCTAGCATTTTATCTTAGAATAACATAGCTAACTTTGTCCACATACAATCCAATAGTTTCAGTCGGGATTTTAAAGTTTGTTTCTTGCACTCAAAAATTAGAATGAATATAATAGATATTTGTAAAGAGAAGAACTGCCTTAGGTATATATCTTCTAATACATTTTACTTTAATAGCTTGTTTGAGGAAACAGAGGAGAGGGGAGGAGGGAGGTAGCCTTATTTCAATCAATTAGATTAAGTTATTAGGTAAATCAAATAATTTTATTAGTTAACAATTTTTTCTTCTTTCTCTTCCTCTTCCTTTCTCTCAAACCAAACACTCAATAAATTAAAATTCTATTTAGTATATGAATAACAATCCACCTATTTCATTATGAAACAAAACACTAAGCATATATATGAAAATTTTCACACGAGTTAAACATATCGATCTCATCAAATTGAAAATTTCTAAAAATATAGCAATTTTATTCAATATAATTTCATAATACAATTATTGCATGTTCAAACAACACCTATATAAAATATTACTTACGCAGATAGTTTTTTTTTTTTTTTTAAACAGCAATATTATTGATAATGAATATTCGGGGTAGTCAACCCATACAACTAACAATGGGATTTATGGTTTACTGAAACTAGTTAGTACAAGGGAAAAAAACCAACCAACAATAAGTCTCAAAGAACTAGGGGCTATGACCCACTTATGTAGATAGGTAAAAACAAAAGAAAAATATGTTTGGATTGAGGGGAATGGAGGGGAGGGAAAATTTTTTCTTTATTTGGTTATATAAAAAAAATAATAATAATAAGGAAGAGAGAGGAGGGGAAAATTTTCCTTTATTTTTTCTTTTAATTTACTTATTTATCCAAATGGGGGAAAGGGAGGGGAGGGGAATATCCATTCCCCTCCATTCCCTTCTCCTCCCCTCCATTTTTTTCAACCCAAACATACAGTTAAGTAACTGAAATGGGCTCTTAGTAGGCTATTGTGTCCTTGTAGAGATGATCTTATGCCATGTAATAAGCCAAATAAGAAAGTAGATTTGAATCCCACATCAAAAAGTGACCAAATGGAGGCTTATCAAAACTAGGTTGCACCTAATTATTAACACTTGATTGCAGCGAGTGATCATCATCACTTGGTTGGACAATTTGAGTGTGTTCAGTTAGGTCAAGATGTGCGAGAAGAAGCGCTACATGGGTAAGAAGCTACATGCGCTACATGATCTAATCTTGTCCTTGCACTTCTGAATATAATGGGCGAGCCAAATGCAAACATAGACACATCCTTGATTCTGTTTGTGCTTTGCTCATTTCATCTTCTTGTCTAGAGTGATTTTGGGGTGAAGTTGCTCTTACAACTATTTATCTCATTAATCACATTTCATCATCAGTCCTCAATAACTAGTCTCCATATGAGTGTTTACATGGTATTCTTCCTGCCTATGATCTTCTTAAGGTTTTTGGATATGCATGTTTTGTTCTTCTTCCACTTCATGAACATAACAAGTTAGAGCCTAGAACTCGACTATGTTATTTTTTAGGCTATGGGATTACACAAAAAGGATATCTTTGTTGGGATCTTGTGTCACAAAAACTTTGAGTTTCACATCATGTTGTCTTTTAGGAACACAATATGTTCTCATCGTTGTCAAACTTCAAAGTGTCATCTTTTCATCAACCTCCATGTTTTACTAATCCTTAAGTTGAGCTATTTCCTAGTAATTTTGATGCAAGTACATCTGATGAGCTTTATAATGCCTCACCACATGCTCCAACTAGTTTTGTAGAAGATGATCTACCTATTGGTAATGCATTAGATAATTTTAAGCCTTCCTTTACTTCCTCATCTATATCACCTGTTGACGTTATATTTAATATTGTTGAGTTTGCAAATGAGTTTGTTATCCCATCCTTGAGTCATCCTACTAGGGTAAGAAACCTTCCTAGCTACCTTTGTGATTATCATTGTTTTCCTGTTATTACTTTTTTACATGAGCCTCAATCCTATTGAGAGGCCTCTTTTGTTGCTCTTTGGCAACAGCTTATGCAAGATGAATTATAGGCTCTTGATAACACTCGTACATGAGATTTAGTTGATCTCCTTGATGAAAAATCTCTAATAAGCTATAAATGGGTGTACAAGATCAAAATGTGATCTGATGGTTCTATGGAACATTATAAGGCATGCTTGGTTGCTAAGGGTTTTACATAGGAGTATGGAATAGTTTATGAGGAAACTTTTGCTCTAGTTGCTTGTCTCACATTTGTGCATAGTTTGCTTGTTATCGTTGCTATATGGAGATGGAAATTACTTCAGATGGATGTCAAAAATGCTTTTCTTAATGTCATCTAAAAGAAGAAGTTTATATGAAGCCACCTCCTAGGCTTAATCATCCTCCAAACAAGGTATGTCGATTGAGACGTGCATTATACAGTTTGAAGTAATCCCCTTGTGCTTGGTATGTAAAGTTCAATGCTACTATGAGTGAATTTGGTTTTACTTCTAGTCCACATGATATAGCTTTGTTCATTCATAACATTGCTTAGGGTATTGTTCTTTTACTTCTTTATGTTGATTACATGATTATTATTAGAGATGATATCGTAGGTTTTGATGAGCTAAAACGATCTCTTAGTTAGAAATTTGGGATGAAAGATCTTCATGTTCTGAACTATTCTTTGGGGCTTGAAGTTACTTCTTTAGATGATGGCTACCTTTTTTCTCAAGTAAAGTATGCCTCTGATCTTATTTCCAAAGTTGAACTCAATGATAGCAAGAGTGTCTCTACACCTCTTGAAACCTAATGTTAAGCTTACACCTATGGATTGCTCTACACTTGTTGATCCTACTCACTATAGGCAATTGGTTGGTAGTCTAGTTTATCTTACCACGACATGCCCCAACATAGCATATGTAGTTCACATTGTTAATTAGTTTATGGTTGCTCCTTACTCCACTCATTATGCAGCAATACTTTGCATTATTCACTATGTTAAGGGAACATTGTTTCATGGACTCCATTTTTCTGCTAACTCCTCTTTTGTGGTTTATGCTTACTTTGGTGTCAATTAGGCTGGTGATCTTTTTAATCACAGATCTAGTACTAGTTATTATCTTTTCCTTGGTAATTCTCTTATCTCTTGACGGAGTAAAAAACAAACTATTCCATCTTGCTCTAATACTAAAGCTGAGTATAGAGCTCTCGGTGATACCACCTCAAAACTTCTTTCATTATTGTGGCTTCTTAAAGATATGGTTATTCCTCAGCTTTCTTCTATTGATTTATATTGTGATAATCGAAGTGTTATATAGATTGCTCATAATGATGTCTTCCATGAATGCACAAAGCATATCAAGGTTGATTGTCACTTTATCCATCATCATGTTGCAAAGGAAAATGTTCGTTTGATTTTCGTTAGTTTTGCTGATCAGTCTACACTTTTGTTCACTAAGGCTCACTTCCTTGGATGCTTCCAAACTCTTCTTTCCAAACTCAAGTTGATTTTTTCACCACCACCTTGAGTTTGTGGGGGAATGTTAGAATATTAGCATTTATTTTAGAATATTAACATCTATATTAGAAGACTATGTTCACATTGTAATTGATTATATAAGCTAATTGATTTTATACCTAAGAATATTCTATTGTATAGATCTATATATAGGAACTTTGTATATACAATGAAGATAAGAAAGCAATAAAACTTTCTTCAAATATTTCTTCTTCTTTTCTGTTTTCAACGCAACCATTCCTAGGAGCTCCTATTTGATCCAAAGTTCTTCAACTAGTCTGGAGAATTTTCTGGAAGGCTTTGCTTTTGATCTCAATGAAGAAGAAAGCACTGGCAACTAGAAATAGAAAACATGTTATGATATGATGCATATACTTGGAAAAAACTAGAAATGTAGAAATAAGGAGCATGGAGGGGATTAAAAAATTCTAATACACAAGGCTATAGATATGATATACGTTCAAAATTCCATTGTGTGTATTAGAATTTTGTAATAGAATAATCACTCTTATCTTTAACCAATGAGGTATTGTCTGCATTCCAAGTTCAAATGTCTTACATATCCAAATATTGATATTTAGAAAATAATTGAAACAAAAAAAAGAATCTAGAAGATATATTACCTGAATGCCAAAACAGGGCAAAAAATATTGCCTCTAATGTTAGATGAATATAAATTTAACCATAGTTGTGGAAACAAATTATGTAACGCAAGAACATAATAATCAATATACCAAAAGAATGTCATTTAAAATGGAGATGATAAAGCCGGTGAATACTTGTAAGTAGCATTGTTTATGAATTATGTTGTTTAACGAAGTTGAAGATTTACTAATTTAACATTTATATGTGTTGATACCCTCCTAGTGCAATATTATAAAAGAGAATCAAGAAAAGCACATGAATACTTGGTCTCCAAGGGCCAAACTCCTGTGTGCAACACTTAAAGCTAATAAAAGTAAATTCTTCCCCTGTTTGAACATAAGAAGTAAAGCTAAGAATATAACTACAGGTACGAAAGAATAGTTAGAAAATCATTTAAAATTTTATAAAAAAATTTAAAAGGGTTAATTTGTCTGTTGGCTACTGAAAAAGAAAACAGTACAAAATGTTTTGTAAAGCAAGACATACATAACTGTTAGATCTGGTGCTTTTAAAGCTTATGGACCAATTCTAGAATGTATCATCCCTTTCCACAAAATAGATAAAGAAAGCCGAATGAATTAGAGATAGACTAGATTTGTTGAAGCATGTTTCTTTTGTGAGTGTGAAGAACTAAGATAGATCCATGGCACTATTAGATTAGTTTGTGGTGTCAAAACATGTAATTGGCCACTCAATGTCTCCTTGTTAGGCCGAATGTCTCCCCAACAAATGATATCAAAGCCAATGGCATAACAATGTTAGTGGTAATTTCGGTCTTGGGCCGGGTTTAGCAAAGTGAGATTGTATGTTATGTAAACCTATGTTGAGTATACCATGGATGATGTTGTGCCCATGATGAGTATACCCATGGACCATGTCATGTATGTATGTCAAAAAAAAAAAAAAAGTGGATGAACTCTCATTGGCACCTTCACAACTCACAAGTGAAAGGGGGAGTGTTGAAGTATGTTTTCCTTGTGAGTGTGAAGAACTAAGATAGACCCATGGAACTACTAGACTAGTCTTTTGGTTCAATGTGTTGTCAAAACATGTAATGGGCCACTCAATGTCTCCTTGCTAGGCCAAATGTCTCCCCAACAAGATTGCTTGTTGGAAAGATCAAGGAGGGTAATGATATACACGGAGGAAAAACTAAGATGAATGATGTGGCAAAGCCATGTTATCAATTTTTATTATTTTAAAAATGAGAACGCTGTATTCAGTTCTTCTTGTGCATGATACACATTTTTTTAAACCATTACCATCTTCTCAGGTTGGTTCTTGAGCAAGAATCTAGAGGATGGTTAGGATTGTTGATTAGAAACAGCCGCTTTTGTTGGTACCTCACCAACAACAGCCGCATCTGCATTGCCATTTACGGAAGCAGCGGTTAATCAGATCATCTTGTCTCAATTCCAATTCTGGCCATTCATAACCGCAGCTATACCGATCGGATCATCCAAGAAGTACGGACGGACGACACCGAATCTTCTGCCTAGTCTAACAGGTGATTGGACTCTGGCTCTTCAATATTCACTCTGCTTTTTATTTCGTATTAAAGTCTAATCCTGTTTCATCATGAAACATAATTAATAATAGGACATATATGAATGATTTCATACATGAGTCGAACACACAGTGAAGTGCTAAGGGTATTAATTAATCTCATCCAATTTGGAAAATACCTCAATGAAAAAAGAAAATTAATATAGCAAATTCATATCCCATGACTATTCTATATAATTTCATAATACAAGCCTCTTGAGAAGTCGTGTGATCAAACAACACTTTTATAACAACTTTTAAGAAACTAAAACGGGCTTTTAATAAGGTATTTTGTCTTTGAAAAGATAATCTTATGCAAGGTAATCAGACATATGAGAATGTCGTTCCCAGTCCCACTTCAAAGATTGCACCTCAGCACTTGGCTTTTGCACAATTCGGATGTGTTCGGTTAGGCCAAGATGTGCCATAAGAAGTGCTACGTGGGTAAGCAGCTCCCCACCATGCCTAAGGTGCGTTTCATGATGTTTCCATCTGCATTTGCTTGCGGCAAATACCAGCATTTCCATCCACACATTTGCTATCATCTCCCATTTTTCTTCAGGATCCCACAGCAATTCCTCCACCAATGCCTTCAACATAGACGCCAGCCTACAGCCATCCTTCAACACTGACTTGCTATGAATTAGTGGCGGTGGAAATTTGTTTTGCCTGTCAAGCAAAGCACTGGCAACATCATTGTTATTTAGTGACTTCTCTTGGGCTAAGAATGTTATCACCTCTGTTTGAGTATCTCTTATCCTCACTTGACCAATCCCTTTAGGAAGCATGAGCGGCCGCGCCATGAGGAGATACATCATATAATCTGACAACAGCTTGCTAATTCGGCAATGTAAACCCAGAACACTGCTAGAATATCTTCTGTGATCATCGTAGAAGAGAAGAAACGTTGCAATATGCCACAAAAGAATGCTGTGACCGAATTCTACATCAAGAATGCTCCATTTAAACTCATCCTTAAGAGGAATTTCCATTCGCTGAAGCACATGATCACCCCTCTCGTTCAGCATCTTTATGAGGAACAGATGGTCAAATTCCTCAAAGCTTTTATCAATTTTCTCTCCTGACGCCTCATCTTTAATGTTTTGATACCGCTTAAACTTCTGTTGAAGATGCGAGAGGATGAATTTCTTCAGATTTGAATCCACCTTTTCCCAAGAAGTGTGGCAAAACTTCTCCCTAAATTCTTCGATGTCAGGTACTCTCAAAATTGAACTCCACGAAGATGTCTTGACCTTGAGGCAATAATCTATCAGGCTATGTTGTGCCATATATGTTATTCCCTTCTTCTTGGCCTTGCAACGAACTAGCCAGGAAGCAATTGAGTAACCCACAAACTTATGCACTGAGTTGGTCGGACTGGATAAACGGTAAATGGTCCAATCAGAAAAAGCGTGCGAAATAGCTGAGCAAATGTCAACAAAGATTGCTCCACCCAACAGCAAGTAAGTTATGCAAATGTCCTCCCTTGGATAATGGTAATTACCAACTGTGATAGAGAAGGTAATCACTGCTGCAAAAGTTGACAAAAAGCAGATACCCTGGAGGATTACTCCTTTTGTAGATTGCAGAATGATACTCTTGGTATAGAGCTTGTCACACAAGAACTCTAGCTCAATTTGTACAATTTTGAAGGCATCTTCAGCGGATATGGTGTAGGGGAGCATGAACTTGTCCCGTAAATTTCTATAAATCCTGAGCCTGAGCTCTGAAAAGAGAGGTATGTACATCTTATATAGATAATAAGCTTTATAGAAAGATTTGCCTTCTTCGATAACATTTTTGTCTCTTAAAAACTCGTCCAAGGTCTGAGGATGATGATTGCACGTTGAATCACTAGTTTGAGTGGTATCAAGTGTGTTGCTGCTGGTGGATGAGAAAACAGAGTTGCTAAATTGCTTGTAGCTTGCATCTCTGAGAATCCAAATCCTTTCTACATACTTGATGATTCCGGTAATGAACATCGGGATGGCGCTGTATCTGAGTGTGTTATTCGTCCCAAACTTTACGTAGGCATACATAGCCACCCCAACTTGGATAACGAGGCCAAGAAAGGACCTCAACCAAAGCTCGTTGTCTGTCAAGGCATAGGCACTGATGGTGTGTGGACCACCGAGGTGCAAGAGCAAGAATGGCGTCCAAAACACAACCAGTTCATTGGTTAGCTCCTTCACTTTGGCCTTGAGGAGGGCACTTAAGGCAACAGTGGTTACCCAATCTGCCGATACGTATGAAAACCAAGCAAAGATAGCAACATAATGAGAACATTTGCCTTGCTTTCTCCGACGATGGCCAACCCAAAGAAGTACAAACTGGAGAAGCAGGCTGAGTAAGACCATTCCTTCGAGCTCCCATTTGACCCACAGTTTTTGGATTAATCCGGGGAACAATTTCGGAAAGGCTCTACTTTTGATCTCTGTGAAGAAGAAAGCACTGGCAACTGGAAGAAGAGAACATGTTCGTGCATATAATTGGTAAAAAGCCGAAATGTAGAAATAGGGACCTAGTTAACAAGATATATAATTATCTGCTACCTATATAGTTAACTATCATTAAAAGAATGTAATCACTCTATTCTTTAGCCTACAAGGTAATTATAGGTCCAAATCTCAATGTACAAAATCTCCATACTTCCACATATCAACTCAAAAAAAAAAAAATTAAATGAATTCATCTCTAACATATGGATTACCGGGCAGCTAAACATGAAATAAAAAAGAGAAAAGACATTGGCACTGATGAAGCTATGGTTGTAGAACCAAATTAAGTAATGCAAAATGCAAGAATATATTAATTAATGTGCCAGAAGAACGTAGTTTTAACATGACGATGATAATGCAGGAAACACTTGTGAGCAGCATTGCTGATGATTTATGTTGTTTAACGAAGATGAAGATTTGCTAATTTAACATTTTTATATGTTGATGCCTTTCTGGTTCCTAGTCCAATGGTATAAAAGAGAATTACAAGAAGCACATGGATATTTGATCTCCAAGGCCCAACCTCCCATGTGCAACACTTTAATCTAATTAAAGTAAATTCTTCAGCAGTTTGAACATAATTAGTTAAGCTAAGAATGTAATTACAGATACAAAAGAAGAGTACTTCAACATCATTTAAAATTTAAAAACAAAAATTAAAAGGGTTATTTGTTGGGATGGCTATTCAAAGAAAACAGTACAAATTGTTTTGTAAAGCAAGACATACATAATTGTTAAATCTGGTGCTTTTAAAGCTAAAGGGCCATTTGAAGAATGTATCACTTATTTTCACAAAAAAGATAAAGAAAGCAGAAAGAATTTGAGATAGACTATAGCTTGTTGGAAAGATCAAAGAGGGTAATGATACACTGATGAGATATAGGGAGGAAAAATTATGACAATGATGTGGCAAAGCAATGTCATCAATTTTTATTATTTTAAAAATAAGAACACCGTCTGCAGTGTGTCTCATTGTAGATTGTGTTTTATTTAATTATTGATGGAGGATTAGACTCTCAATATTAAGAGACTCACTCTAGATATTAAATACATCTCATCAATATCTTAGAGGCTGAAGGCTGAATAACAACTTACATACAACTTAATTGACTCGTGAGCCAACAAAGCTGCTAATCTAGTAGTAGAGGTTAAGGCCCCGTTTATCAGGTGTATGTCCAATTTTTCTTATTTTGTAGTATTATTTGATACAAGTGCGTCCGGTTAGATAACCATTCTTGGGGTCAAGTGGCGGAGAGACGAAGTTGTGAGGAAGCGGTCTTAGGCGACTCCTTTTTTTTTTTTTTTGATTTTACACAATATTCTTTTTTAAATTTTAACTGGGCGTTGATCTCCCTAGTAAAAAAAGGTTATTGTATAAAAATTTAATCTCCAAACATTTCATCTCAGAATAACATAGCCAACTTTGTTTACATAAATATTTATCAGGAAGCTAATGTGGCTGCAGATTTTCTAGCTAAACTAGGCGTTAACTCTGCTACTAACTATATATTGTATAATGAGAGCCTTACTGAACTTTCTTATATATTTCGTAATTGTATTAGTTTGTATCAGAACTATTAATTGTTCCTCATACTATTGTAGCCGCTTAATATATCTATCCTTCTTTTCTTTAAAAAAAAAAAAAAGAAAAATATTTATTTTGCTATGTAGTTAACTATCATTAGTAGTTTTAACCCACACTCAACACGTCATCTCACGTAACAACAATACCAACAATAGACTTCTCAAGAAGGGAGTATGAGTATGGGCTCTTATACTATGTATAGAATTGTAAATGTGGGCTCAATACAAGATTGTAGTCCAACCTAAAACTGATTGATAATAACAAGAGTAGTTTTTTTTTGTATTTTACTTATACTTTTTTTTTATTATATCATCGGTGTGAGATTTTCCTACCCAACATTTTTTGCATTCCAAATTCAATTGTCTCACATATCCAAAATCAATTCGAAAATAATTGAAAAAGAAAAAGAATCTAGAAGACATATTACCTGAATGCAAAACAGGGGGAAAATATTGGCTATGATGATAGATCATAGATGAGTATAAATCTAACCATAGTTGTGGAAACAAATTATCTAATGTAAGAACATATTAATTAATGCACCAAATTCAAGAATGTAGTTTGACATGGAGATGATAATGAAGGAAACACTTACTTGTGAGCAGCATTGCTGATGATTTATATACTTTAACGAAGTTGAAGTGTTACAACCCTCTACTAATTAAACATTTTTATATGCAGAAGTCTTCCTAGTGAAATATTGTAACACAGTATCATGCGCGAATCACATGGATACTTGGTCTTCAAGCCCCATGTCTTGCGTGCAACACATTACTTTAAAGAAAGTGATTCCCCTGGCCCTGTCATGTGGCCTTTTATTGTTTCAATGGTGGTGATCGTAATACCGGTATCAAAAAACATTCCATGCATATCATTTTAGTTTCATTTATTAACAATTAAACCAGGGACATCCTAGCTAGCTAAGAAGATGATTAAAGATACAAAAAGAAAGTTTGAGTACCTTTCTTTTTTCTGAAATAAATAGGGTAACTTGTTCGGAATGGTTATTAAAGGAGCTACCTGTACCGAATGTTTTGTAAAGAAAGACATGTAATTGGTTAGTCTGGGGCTGTTAAAGCTAAAGAGCGCACGAAGTTCATTAATGCATCAACCATTTAAAACAAAGAAGACAAAGAAAGCAGAATGAATGAATAGATATATATACTTTTGCTTTTTTGGGAGGATCCTAAGGATAGATGAATTAGCTACCTCAATTCACCTTAAAGGAAAGAATAGACGCATGGAAAAATGAGACTCTAGAGACGCAAAATGCAAAACCAACTACCTAGGCCCCACAAAGAAGAACATATTGAGTCCTCGTCGTCAAAAAAAGAAAAGGTATATATATATGTAAGAAAAAAAGAAATAAAAAAAAAGAAAGAAATAGAGGCTTGAGGCTTTTGGTCACTTAATTATCTTCACTGAGATAAAGTACTGATCAGTGACTGCCTATCTTCGAAATGGAATCCTCCTAGCTCTTTTGTCAAAGTGCAAAACATCCTTCTGGGACAACTTTCACACATTTCACTTGGCAGTCGCTAGTTAATTCATAAAGGAAGCTGCGCCTCTAAACATTAAACGCTCGATTTAGCCTGATCAAATTGCAAATTTCAGGCGGACACAGGTATAAAAACAAGCTTACGATGGAGCCATTGGGTATATCCCCAAACTCTGGTACCATCGCAGAGCCATTTGCCCCCTTCAAAGAGGATTTGGGTGCTTATGTAATGGGTTTGGAGTACTACCTATACTCCCATTAATAGAAAACAGTTGATTTGCCTTTTTTAAGAAAAAAAAAAAAAAAATTCGCCCCCTCCGTCGGGTTTGATAACCAAACTTGGTGGTGCTGTGGCGGAAGACGATGGTTGACAGGGAGCGGTTCTAGGCGACTCCCTTTTTTTGATTTTACACTTGATTTTCTTTTTAAAATCATAAATGGGCGTCAATCCGTAGCAAAAAAAGGTTATTATATAATAATTTGAACTCCAAATATTTTATCTTAGAACAACTTGGCCAACTTTGCTTGCATACAATCCCATGGTTTGAGTGTGGATTTCAAAATTTTATTTCTTGCATTCAAAAATTATACTGTTGTGATGAATAATAGATATTTGAAAAGAGGATAACTACTTTTAGTGTATTTTGAGGATGTCTTAATAATTACAAATTTAAATATCTATGTTAAAGATTTTAAATTTGAATCGTGAGAAAAAATAAAAAGAGTTTAAAAAGAAAATGATGATTCTTATAGTATAATTAATTACTTAATGTACAAAAGAAATATTTTACATATCTTCTGATACATTTGATCTTAGTAACCTATTTGATTTGAAGAAGCAGGAGATGTGACCTTATTAATTTTAACTAATCAGATTAAATTTTTGGGCTTATAAAATAATTTGATTGAGCTTACAAAATAATTTAATTGGTTATAATAATTTACCCTACCCAAACACGTAGTAAATTAAAATTCTATTTTGTATATAAAAAGATTATCACACTAGCTGTTTCATTATGAAATACAACACTAAAGCATATATATGAAAATTTTCAGACAAGTCAAACATATCAATCTCATCCAATTTGAAAATACCAAAAACTATAGGAACTTCATAACCCATAATTATTCAGTATAATTTCATAGTGCGATTATTTGCGTGTTCAGACAACACTTATATAAAATAACACTTAGACGGGCTTAAAAAAAAAAAAAAAAAAACAGAGCGTAAAAACTTTCAAGGTAATAAAAAACGGGCCCTCACTAAGCTATTGAGTCTTCTGAAAAGATGATTCTATGCCATGTAATAAGCCAAATGAGAAAGTTGATCCCAATCCCACATCAAAGTCTGACCAATTGGAGGCATTTCAGAACTAGGTTGCACCTGATTAGCAGTTGATTCCAGCAGGAGATCATCAGCACTTGCTGTCACAATTCGAATGTGTTCAGTCAGGCCAAGATGTGCCATAAGAAGCGCTACGTGGGTAAGAAGCTCACTGCCACTCTTGAGATGTATATTATGCTCTCTCCATCCACACCTGCCTGCAGCAAATGTCAGCATTTCCATCCACACATTTGCAATCACCTCCCATTTCTTTTCAAGATCCCATCTCGACTCCGTCACCAATGCCTTCAACATAGATGCCAGCTTACGACCATCTTGCAAGACAGACTTGCCTCGAGTTGAAAATAATAGAAATTCGTTGCCAGTGGGAAGCAGAGCGCTAGCAGCGTCATTGTTACTCATTGATGACGACCGTTTGCCGAAATATCTTACCACCTCCTCTCGAGTATCTTTGATCCTCACCAGACCAATTCCTTTAGGAAGCATGAGAGGCCACACCTGGAGGAGATACATCATATATTCTGACAACAGCTTGCTAATTTGGCAATATGAACCCAGAACACTACCAGAATATGTTTTATGATCATCATAAAAAAGAATAAACGTTGCGATATGCCACGCAAGAACGCTGTGGCTGAATTCTACATCATGAATGCTCCTTTCGAAGTACTCCTCATCAATTTCATAGTTTTGAAGCGCACGATCCCCTCTCTCCCTTAATATACTTAAGAGCTTGTCATGGTTAAATACCTGCTTATCATCAATTTTGTCTTTAAGATTTTGATATTGCTTGAACTTCTCTTGAAGATGCTTGTAGATGAATTTCTTCAAGTCCCCATTCACTTGTTCCCAAGAAGTCCCCAAAAATTTCTGAAAAATCTCTTCAGTGTCAAGCATTCTCAAAATTGCAGTCCACTTGGATGTCTTCACCTTGAGGCAATAACCTATCAGGCTATGTTGTGCCACGGACACCGTTCCTCTCTTCTTTAATTTCCTATGAACTAGCCAGGAAACAATTCTTTGATATGCACACTTACTCAGCAATCTCCTCGGACTAGTTAACCAGAGTATTGCCCAAGAAGAGAAAGCAATCGAAGTGGCAGAGAGAATATCAAGAAGGATTGCTCCACCAAGCAACACATAAGTTATCAAAATGTCCTCTCCTGGATAGCCACTCTTATCAACTGCGATAGAAAAGGCAACCAGAGCTACAAAAGTGGACAAGTAGCAGATGCTACGGAGGATTCTGCCCACTATTGATTGCAATATAGCAGCCTTGGTGTAGAGTACATCATACAAGAACCCTAGCTCAATGTGGACCAGCATGAAGGCTTCTTCCGCATCTTGGAAGGGGGACAGCCAGATGTCGCTTAATTCTCGATAAATCCTTAGTCTGAGGTCTGAAAAGAGAGGTATGAACATCTTAAACAGGCAAAAAGCTTTACGGACAATTTTGCCACTATCAATGACTGTTTTGTCCATTAAATAGTTATCCAACGTCTGAAAAGGATGATCGCTCCTCGAACCATTAGATTTTGTTATGGAACCTCTGGGGCTAGGAGATGAGAAAACAAAATTGCTAAATTGCTTTTGGCTTGCAGACCACAGAATCCAAATTCTTTCTGCGTACTTGGTAATCCCAGCAATGAATATTGGGATGGCTATATATGCAAGAGTGGAATTGGTCCCAAACTTAATGTATACATAAATAGCCACACCAACCTGGATGACAAGGCCGAAGAAGTACCGCAACCAATTCTCATTGTCTGCTAAGGAGTAGGCACTGATGGTGTGAGGGCCACCGA